GCCATCCTCACCCCTCTGACTGACAGCAAGGTCATCTCCAGCTACCTGCCCAAGGAGGCCATTTCAGGTCAGGACACACTGCTGAGGAGGCAGGGCATGGGTGGCCAGGGAAATGCAAGACAATCAGTAGAGGGGTTTCCTCAAGAGCCTTGTGCTTCTAAGCCAACTCCAGAAGCAGGCTCTAGGAGTCTGTGTTCCTGTACTGTGCTACTCAGCCCTGGGAGATGGAGTAGGAACATACCACATCCCAGGGAAGTGAGGTGGTCGGTCAGCCCACCCTTGGGAAAAGGCTAAGTCCCCAGCCTGCACGCGGGTCTCCAGGCTTTGAGAGCCTCCATCTGTTTTTGTTTTAACTGAAGGAAAACAGTCATCAACTGTCCATTTCCTATGGGGAGTGTATGTCCTGTTCTGAGACCATACTCTTCCACATACTCTCCAAGCAATAAGCTCCCAATTGGACACCCTGTTCTGACTTCTAATGCTACTTGTGTTTGCTTCTGCTCTTGAAAGTCATTAACAAAGATATTGTAATCGTGCCATCAACACTCAAACCTGTCAGTGAGCTGCACTGTGCAATGGTCAGTCCCTGATCCTCTCTGATACACTGTGATCATTGTAGGAGCACACACCACTTCTTCATGCATTTTGACTGTGAAGTTGTTAGTAAAGGAACTACCATTTCCTTCCTATGATGGCTACCTGTTAACTTCACTCTCATGCTACCCAACCAGGGTCATGAGGATTCTGTGGCCAGACACCTCAGCCTCTGAGGATTCTGTAACTCCATATCCAAGATGAGTAAAACAAGTGTCTCTCCAATCTTCATGTTCTGACCACTCACTGAAAGCCACACACTCTTTACTCAGAAGCTCCTAGCACTTGGCATCCTTCCTGGGACTGGGTGTCTGCAGCCCAGTTGTATGTTCTGCCCCCAATTCCTTTTTCCACGAGCTGACATCTCTGCGGAGCAGCTCCCGTAGCTCATGTGGGTGAGCCTACCCTTTAAAGTACACCTAGGAACCTGTGGCTCCTGAGGTATAGAACATGGGATGAGAGTAGGGAGACTCAGAGAGATGAACAGTGATCTTGTCTTCCAGGTCTGGTGTGTCTTATCAGCTGTGCCATTGGCATGGTGTTCACCATGGAGGCTGGAAACTACTGGTTTGACATATTCAATGACTTTGCAGCCACTCTGTCCCTGCTGCTCATTGTGCTGGTGGAAGTCATAGCTGTGTGCTATGTGTATGGGCTGAAGAGGTAAGGAGACCCCAGACCCTGCCTTCTACATGGGATTCATAAGCTGCAGGGCCAGACTCATAAGAAAGCCGTCTTTCCTCAGAGAGCTGTTTTAGATACCAGACCCATCAGTTTGGTCTTTGCCCTCAGATCTCATTCATCTCTTGCTTTGCCAGTTTTCCAGCAACTAACAGCTTTTTCCTGCTGCCTGTTTTTCATTTTGTACCATGACATGTTTCCCTGTTGACTCTGCTGGACTCATGGCTTTCTGGGCAGGGAGCGGACTCTGTCTCCAGGATTAGATTCTTTGATCTTTCACCAGCATCAGAACTTTTCAAGAACCCTGACCTGAGTCCACTAAGAAAACTCAGCCTCAGCTAGGAGTGGTGATGCACACCTTTAATCTCAGCACAGGTGGATCTCTGAGTTCAAGGTCAGCCTGGTCTATAGTGTGAGCCTGGTCTATAGTGTGGATGGCCAGGCTACACAGCAAAATGTTGTCTCAATGAATGAAAGAGAAGAGAAGAGAAGAGAAGAGAAGAGAAGAGAAGAGAAGAGAAGAGAGAGCATGGATGTGGTCAGATTTCTACCGTGGTATCCCAGGCAGTGCTGGGATAACACTTGTTGGGATAACACTTCTTGTGAAAACACTGCCGGCAAGAGGTTCTGGTTGAGGAAATCTGTGTTGAGGTCCAGGAATGTGGATGCTGAGACGAACTAGTGTAGAATTTTATTTCCATTTTTTTTCATCAAGCAGCAGCAACAGCAACAAGGAACCTTTGAGAACCGCGGGGCCTCAAGTCACCAGCCCTGCTGAGTGAGTCCATAAAGTGGATTCAGGAACATCCTACTGTGCAGTGTCTGAGTGTCATCTGGGTCAAAGACCTATGCCGTGTCATCCTTATCGCTTCCTTAGATTTTTATGATGACCTAAACTGTTTTGGGCTCAGATAAAACCAGCCATGACACTCTAAAGAGCTGACTGTTCATTGAGACGCATTCCCCACAATCCCCCGAAGAGCCAGGGTCCCATGACATGCTGAAGCATCTTCAGTGACCAACTGTTTCAGTAGATAAGTTAGGGAAAATCACATTGGTGGCTTTCCCTTAGGACTCAGAGTCTTAAAAGTGTTTGGGAAGCTGAAGGAGGAATTATAATTTTGACACATTCCCAAACCAACTTTTGGAAATCCTTTCTTCTTATGTTCTCCATCAGCTTACAAAACACTGAAGCCCTTAAAAGACTGGATGACTGGATTTCCCAATATCAAGACATATAAATGATCACCCAGAAATTTTCAGGGAGATAGAGACCAGTCATGGAGTGGTATTTCAGAGTAGAAGAAAATTAAAGAGAGATCTGAACTTCAGCTCCCTGGGGGGGGGGGGGTGTGACATGACTGAAGAGGAGACAGTTATATCCCAGGAAGTGGTGGAAAGTGACAGGAAGGAGGAGAAATAGGAGCCTTGCCTGCGATCCAGATAGTGGCCAGGAGGAGCCTTCTGCTCACGCAGGAGACACTGCCATCTAGTGGTCTCCAGTAACAGAGTCCTCTGCTGCAGCCGGTTTCCTACCTTTCTCTGTTCGGTACTGAATCACGGGGAGAAACAGGAGGCATAAAGCACTCTCTGACCTTTGTCCTGGCATTCTCATTGTACATTCATGGTGGGAAGCTAGAGTCCAGTTTAGTCAGCAGTACAACCATACATGGACACCATAGAAGAGATAAGTACCAGGAGGCGGGTGGCTGTGGCTGCAGCCGCCGTCAATGCTATCTTATCTGGCCCCAAGCCACCAGGCTCCAAGACCCCTCATCAAGTTCCCTGGCCTCTCTCCTAAGAAAAATAGGCTGCTTAGGTCCTCAAGGGTTGAAATGCTTTTAAACTTACACATGTGAGTATTGCAACCTGTGGGACTGACCCATCCTATCCATGGTAAATGAATACTTCAGTGCTGTTGCTAAGTCTAGGCAAGAGGCCAAGTAAGAAAAAGAAGAAAGCCAGAATATGGCCAAGATGAGAATGCAGAGGGTGGTCTCCGGGTTGCAGCCTAGGGGCTTTGCCCTTGTTCCACTCCCCCTGCTCTTCCATGGCAAGGCCAGGCCCTTCCAAGTACAAAGTGACTGTCCTGAGAGCAGCTCGAGGAGCAGAGAGAACACTTGGAATCATCACTAATGGACTGACTGGGTGGGTGGGCACAGAGGCAATATCACCCTAGCCCTGTGGACTGAGGGGACAGACATCTCCTTCCACCATGCACCCTGGCCACATCTTCTCTAGAAATTACGCTCAGGCCCACACCGGGAGCCTTCCTCTGAAGGCCAACATGGGGGAGATGACCCCTTCCTTCTTGGTCATTCTCCCTCCCCTCAGGGAGCCTTTTCCCTTTTCCTCAACACTTCCCCAGGAAAGGATCAGATGGGTCCAGGGTCACATTCAAACTTCACTAGTAAGCAGAATAGCATCGCCCCCTAAGTGCAGAGGGTATGCAAACTGGAGCCCCTCCCTCCAGGCTCTCTCCCTGTTTTCCAAACAGATTTGAAGGTGACCTTCGAGCCATGACTGGCCGCACCCTCAACTGGTACTGGAAGATCATGTGGGCACTCGTGAGTCCACTGCTCATTATTGGCCTCTTTCTCTTCTACCTGAGTGACTACATCCTCTCGGGGACGCTGCAGTACCAAGCCTGGGACACTACTCAGGTATGTGATGTTCCTGCAGGGCTGAGGAACAGAGCAGAGCCAACAATGTCACTTCAGAACACAGCCCTTCAGTTTCTGACCCGAGGAACCATGGCTGCACTGTGGGGAGGTCACAGGTGATGACAGCACGGGAGCTTCGTCGAGAAGTTTCAGATGCTCAGTCTAGGA